CACACACACGTTCTGGAGTTCACATTGTCCGCGATCAAGGCCACATTTATACCAATTTGGTGTGGAAATTTGATAACTTTGGATTGGTACTGCTGTTGGTACCTCCAGGTAGGTTGCCACAGTATATGCCCAGCCGAGGCTTAGGTTTATCTGGATATTACACCCTAAATTCTTCTCTTCTGTGAACTTCAACCTAAAATTGAATGATCCCTACCGAGGCAAGATTGATGTGACGTAATCGGACCTTTTGCTACTTTGGTTCGAATTTGGATTCAGAACAGTTACCTGTTTTGCCAGGTCAGTAATAGCGAGCAGTATATGTCCGCCGAAGCGGAGACTACACGCGGAATACTACACCTCCAATTTCTTTACCGATTGTTCGACATCACATCAAAACCACCCGGAAAGGATTGTCATCCCTGAAGCAACTGAGGATTCAATTGGACGATTTGAAATCCTAGTTCGATGACATTTGGTCTTTCATTCAGAAGTTTTCTGATGAAACCACCGGTACTCAAGTCGAAGTTCGATTAGAACGGATCGATGATTTGTGGGAGAGATTTAGTGAGAATTTGGTCGAGCTAAAATCTCATGAAGACTTCGAGGATTAGGAGAATTATTATAGTAAGTTACGCAAGCACTTGAGCGATCGCTATTATGAAGCCAAAACCTTCCTGTTGGACAAAAGCAAGGCCCTTCGCGTTTCTTCTGAGTTGGAACAATCCGCCCATGAACAATCAATCCCCCTTATTCTGCGAGTCACGTGACTCTCTCTCACCGGTGAGGTGACAATTGTCACCTCACCGGTGACAGAGAGTCACGTGACTCGCAGAATAAGGGGGAATGTCAGGTGTTGTCGGTCATGTCCGGTTACCGCAGATCAAACTCCAATCATTCAACGGTGACATCGATGACTGGTTGAGCTTCCGAGACCTGTTCACCTCGCTCATCCACTGGAGGACTGATTTACCAGAGGTGAAGAAATTTCATTATTTGAAAGGGTGTCTTCAAGGTGAACCTAAAAGCCTAATGGATCCACTGAAAATTACCAAGGCGAATTACCAGATAGCTTGGGATATTCTGGTAAAGAGGTACAACAGTGTTGGAGTCGGCACGGATGCTCCACTGCCACTACACATCGAAGGAGGTAAGCCGGCTATCCAACAGGCGTCATGGAGAATCTGAAGGATCGAAGAGGAATTTTCCTAGTAGGATTATCTCAGGTAGGGTCCAAACAAGGATCGAAGAGGAATAAGAGTCGAACAAGGTAGAACAATTGCAGCTAATATTGAGCACTGGAAAGGGTTGTTTACATTTGTTGTAGTTTTAGGTAGCAGTAACACCATAGAGGTAACTCTAAGACCAGAAGGTCCCGAAGAAACGTGCTCAACTTTTTGGCTCAGCTCTGGTACTCTCTTCGGTCCCAAGCTAATCGGTGCACCCCTCGAAACATAGGAAAATCCACGAACCCCTCATTTTATCTGTCAAATTTTCATAGCGAATCAAAACAAACATAGTGTAGTACTAGAATTTTAACTAGAATGGGGTACGTTAATCGATTTGTTTGGGACCAATAGGCTAATCAAGTAGTTAGCCAATTTAAAATCGTTAGTTTCAACCGGTTGCTGCAACCATCTGTTAAGTGCATTGCATGTTTATACATTAAAGTATATACGACAGATGGCGGTAGGGTTGACAATGATAAATGTTCAATGTGTTGTGTCTTCTTGTCTGTGATATAACATTGAGGTAACATTGAGAGATATAACGCATCACTTTCAGAAATACTTCACTTCGCAACCGATGAACCATTCTGACGGCCATATGAGTACCCAAGTTACCATATAGTCGCAATATAGCTTGTATATTCTTACTTTACTTGAGTATGGTTAGTTGGGGAATATTATGAAACTGTCATTTCTTGAAACTGATCCCTTTCGTATTTCTTTCATTCTTTTTTCGCACACGGAGCGCTCGGTGGACCAGCGACTTTGGACGTGAGCCTCGTCCCAGATCACCATGGCAATTCAATGACAGATGGTGGACATGAAACCGACCAAAAAAGCGGAATCATATTAGAACCAAGGAACCAACCAAGGACGATCTACGGAAGGAAATTGCCGGTGAAGCACGGAATGAAATACAAAGCGTTAGAGAAAAAGTCCAAGGGATTCCAAAAGATGCAATTAACGACGGCGCAAGAGCAGAATATGGTGAGAGCTTTCCAATTATTAAAAAAAAAAATTAATGTCAAAATTAAACTAAATACATGCCAGGTTTGAAAAATATTTTCGAACCTGGAAGCAGGCTTGCTTCCACTCACTTGCTATAAAAAAATGTTTTTCGGAATTATGAAATCATTAGATATTATAATGATAGTTAGTAGTTGTAAGTCTCAAGATAAGGTTGTAAACTAGGTGTTTGACACATAAAACCTGACATTATTGCTGTCAGTGCGTCACAATCAACGATTTTACGACTCGTGAGCACTCACTCTGAGTGAACGCTCACGAGTCATAAATTCGCTGATTGTGATGCACTGAAAGCGAAATTGACAGGTTTTATGTGTCAAATGCATACCTTCCAACCTCTTCTTGTTTCTGACAAGTACAAACTTTCATAATTGCATCCAATGATTCCATAATTCCGAAAAACATTTTTTATAGCGAAGTGAGTGGAAGTAACCCTGCCTGAAAGTGTGTATATATAACCAATATCCATTTGATAACGGTGATGCATACATGCGGGGCTTATTGTGAGTGAAAGTAACCTCGGAATGGGCGTGACTCTCCAGACATTCTGAAATAAGTTGCTGGATCTGCAATAGAGCTATCACCATCTAACTCCCGCACTAAAGCTGTCTACAATGACCATAAATGCGACATTGTAGAGAGAGTTCTTCTATAATAACACTGCCGGCAAAAATTGGTTTTTGTTTATATATAATCCTAAAAGGGACCTAGATTATTTAATAGTCTAATAACCTTAAGTCTGCGCTCGGTCACAATTTGTATTGTGATTAATCAACACTCGGGTAAAGTATGAAATTTGAGATGAATTTGAAACAAAGGGAACTTGAAGTGTAGAGGGCACTGCCGACCGGTTGATGCTGAAGTCTGGCCAAGTAAGTGGGTTAGGGTCTAATGATTTCTAAATGTACAATACAGTGCAGGTGGATATTTTATTTTATAAAACCAATTTGGCTCTAGAACAATTTAAAACTCGTTCTGCATTATTCACATGTTGCAATTATTAAAAAAAAAAAAAACTCGATATAAAGTAGCTTAATACAATCAAATTGAAATGTCCAAATCTTACCGAGTAGTTCAGCAGTTCTGATTTCGGTAGAGTTTGTTGAGATCGGGTATAGTTTCTGTGTATGTTGTTTGTGGATTCGCATTTTGAAATAACTCAGATTAGCACGGAGTAATAGTTTTATTGCTAGGGAACTTTCTTTTGGGATAGTCTTTTCTTCATACAATTCTCATTATTGATACTATATTAATCATGATCAGTCTTAGAAAATGTTATATGTTTAAGCCCAGTTCTAGATTAGTTTGTTAATAGTGTCGTTTGCATTGCAGCTCGCGAGAGGCTACCAAATATGGGTTCTTTTTCATCCGCAATAGTTTGGGGGAGGGGGCGATCTGAGAGCTGAAGAGAGGCTAATAAAGTAGGGAACACCCCATGACCCAAACGACTAACCAACGCATGCGGCTCACACTTAACTTGTTCTATTTCTTTCTTTCTCTCATGTACCAATATGACCTGCCTGAGAACAAATGGGAACACGGCCAAATGTTCAATAGGAGGAAAAATAGCGAGAAAGCATGAGCAAGAAAAGAAGAATTAAATAAGCCATTCATCGGAAAGAGCAAGCAGTCAGAAAGAATCAAGCCGGTTGGAGAAAGCCAATTTATACTGGACGGAACTGATAAGTAGGATAAGAATTGTAAAAGGTGTGTGCTTGCATGATTTACCCTTTTTTAGAATTACCTATAATCCACATCAGAACCTTATTCCCTTCAATTACTACTCCATCACAGCACACACCTAACATTGATCACTAACCTTCATATAGTTTCAGCATTATCGACATTATAATCCAAAGGTGAGTTGGTAAGTATTATTATCATGTGAGTTAAGTTAATGTACCAGAACCTGAACGGACACGACCCTACCCAGGAAAGGACCCGGATACGACCACCCATGTGTGTCTAGAGTATCGCACGAGCTGACGAGTGTAACGGGAAGGACAGTATGTGTATGAACTAGGGGGTTAGACACTAGATAAGCCAACTTAGCGGTTGGCACAGCCTATACACTGAACAATTACAATTAGGATGAAGTGCACTTATAGATGTACTTGGGATCAATAGGCTTGTCAAGTAGTGAGTCAATTTAAAATCGTTAGTTTCCACCGATTGGTAACACTTCAGCAAAAAGTAAATAGATCCGCACGGCAAGAGAGCACGATGCGGACTGAACGACAATTCAATTATTAATATGGTAGATTACAATAATCCCAAAAATAAAATATTGTCAACTTTGTTAATGAACAGCCCGTAAGTATCACGTTTCGCTACGCATTAAAACTGCCCCTACACAAGCTCGTAAAGTTAGGATATGATCTGAAACGTAAACATTTCCTGTCTGCAACTGATAAGATGATCTCGACATGCACATTTCTAGATAGAGCTGGCATTAGGGCGTAACAGCTTTTGTAAACAATGACTTTTCTCGTTGATTTCTAGGAATTCAAGACAAGCCTACACAAATCAACATATTCAATGTCGATTTGTCAGGGCGAGCCATGACTTTCGGGAAATCATCCCGAGAAGTCATTGTTTACAAAAGCTGTTACGCCCTAAATTCAGTTGTATCTAGATTTGAAAAAAAAAATCTTCCTACGTAACGTGCGTACCATAACTATCCGGTAAAAATAGTCTGCGTCATGTTTGAAAGATAAGAAAGCGTTTATTAACTTTATTTAAAATTAATCTGTTATTGAAATGCCATCTCACAAAACCTTTCCAAACATTCGCACTCTGGAAATTCCTCCATCCGGGGCCATCGTTATTCTCACGTGAGTACATGGACCCCGAAATTCAAGTGATTCATCGTCGAAAGTGTGTTCCTTATGGGCCGACAGCTTACTGTTATCCAGCATAATTTTCCACTGCGTCGAAAGTACCGTCTGTTCATCACCCAGCAAGGCAGCCTCAATCTTAACATTATCGGGAAAATTTCCCTTAAAATGATTGGTATCAACCACGATCCGGTCCACGAAACCCTTCGCGCATAGTTTGAAAATTGCCCATTCACAGCCGGGCACCTGCAGGATTCCTTTGTCGTTCGTCGTCAAGATCGCCGGTCGGTCCAGTCTCCGTGCAGTTTCCCAGCCATCTCCCATGTTGAGACCACGATTCGGTTTGATCAAGTTCCGTGGATGACCGTAGTGGGCGTTGGAAAAGCCCAGACATTGACCTCCACTTAGCATTCCAATCAAGTCAATCGCCTTCCCCTTGACAGCTGCCAAGTCCGGTTGAACTTCTCCGAAAACTCGCAGCCTCGCAATACCCCCATCCGGATACATGTTGACCCGCAGATGGGTGAATACTTCGTTGCAATTGCCAATGGTGAAGTACTGCTTCCGGGTATCTTCGTAGCCTGGTTTCAACGCAGTCATCCCGACGATCTTCGTCCATTGCTCACTTTTTAACTGAGCCATCATTTTAGAATCCTTCTCACTGCACGCAGTTCCTATCATCTCCTCACCTCGTTCCGGAATCATGTTTTCTTCGGCACTAGTCAGACGTGCCCCTTGGATCGAAAACTTTGGCGCGTAATTCCCCGTGAAATGCGCCGTATCCACCAGGATACCCTTGATGGCCGTTGGCGCCGCTAACCTTACGATACACCAATCATGACCTGCAATCCGCTTGCGGCGCGTCTCCCAACCATCCATCCACTTGCCATAGGAGGTGTACTTGTCCGGGATAAACACCGGTTCGGTATCCTTCAGCATCCATTCGGCCGGGGCAAACCAATCGTCCGTGGCGAAGCAGATTCGACCACCGCTCTGGGGGGAGATGCAAAAGTTCCGTTAGAAGTGCACAAGTTAAAGGTCAACTTTGAACAATCTTACACCCTCCGATGCCAGTTCGCTAAGCTGCACGAATGCAGGTTCCTGAAGCTTCTGTGCGCCCGACATTGTCCTTCCGAGTTCAAAGACGGCCATATACTAAACGCTAAATGATGCTGCTGCTGACGAGGAGGGCAGATGTTTTTTTGAATTACATCAGAAGTTAACAACAGATAGGAAGCGAACGAGAATCAGCTACGAAAACAATGTAGGTTACTCTGGCAAACGGTCAGTCGGACGCTGAATTGACTTGGTTATCAGTGCGGCTCGTCCGTCCAATTGCGTCTTATCGGTGGTGGCACAAGGGTAGGCTGTTGGTGTTGGACAGAATGTGAGGGGAATGTTTCATCGGTTGATGATAACTTCTTCTTTGCTACCTGTATTGATAACGTGAGTTCGCATTTGTAATGCCTATCTACGGGATGAGGTAATCTCTGTTAGACAACTTTTGCACATTGTCCATCGTCGCTTTGAACGAGGCATATGTGGTATACATAAGATCTATGATATGTTTTACTTCAGTGTATAAAAGGATCAATAAAGATAGAAGTTGAAATTACAGGCATGGATTCATAAATCTTCGTTATATGCAATAAATACCATGTATATTCCAGGATATCACAGCATAAAGGCGAAATCTTCCATAGCTCTAAGCGATCATTAAAGAGAGAACAGACGTTGAGGCTCGAACTAAATTTATGTAAAATCTAGTGTAAAGATTCCTATTCGACTTAAGCGCCATCAACTCCGACTTCCCCACTTAAAAAACCTTCTTTGACAACCTGATGCCGTTGCCCATCTTACACTAGACACCAAGTGGCGGTAGCGCCGAGTAGTAATTTTCAACCGAAACTGGTCGAAAGTGGAAAATTTATAGAGGAAATCAAGAAATGCTAGCACTACGTAACGGCAACGTTCACACTTATCTTTACACAAGTTTCTGACCGAAGTTGGACGTCTGTTCTCTGTGCTATAATGTATAGATGGGTCAACTAGCTCATTTGTTAATTTATTTGTTTATCAAAATCAACAATGCTACCCCAATTGCCGAATCAAAGCAAAGCCAAAACTGGTCATGCGACACCTAGTTTTAAGATCCGCAATTACAAACATGATGATGTACTAAAAAAGTAGAAGAGTCTGTGCCTAGGGGCACGAACGGAAGCTTGACGTAGGACCGCTAGTGGACGGAATAAATGTGAAGAGCATTTAGTTCTTTTAATTGATCAATTATCTATTATCTCAACTCTTTCCATTTTTGAATTGTAGGCGTACCAAATTTGTAGTATTTTTTTTCAAAGAGAAAGTTGATTAAGAGAATCAATCAAAATCACTTGCACCCCTGCTTCCAAATTTGGTTGCAAGATTACAACTCTAGAGAGCATTTTGTGTAATCGTTGGGGGCTTGTCGTTCTGAATATGGACAAACAAGCACAGATAAATTCTATTCCAACTCTTTACTGATGTAAGCTTGATGGCCATGAAAAGGGCCGTTTTATTGAAGAGGACATCCATGGCCACTTACGCTTGGCGTGTTTAGTGTAGGTGTCAGCATCACGGACCTCATTTTCCAGGAACACCTTCAGCACACCTCGTAGATCAGACCGGAGATACCACGGCGAGCCAGACGACCGATGGCGGTTATCTCGAAGAACTTTGCGATGACGCTTGGCGCCTCCTTTACCAGACCTTTTCCTCCTTTGCCACGACCAGTCAATTGTTGCTTGTTAGGTGTGAAGGAGTGGACTACCCACCACCTTCCTACTGCTGCTATTGCTGCCGTCCGAAGCGAAAATGAGCTAATGCCATTGACTTACTTACTTGACTTAAAATGATCTTTATTTCTTGTGTTTGTGTGGTTTACATTTATGAATTTTTCAAGTGACACAGATGCGTCTTTTCAACTTTAGTTCATTTGAGATTTTAATTATTATTTACAGTTACTAGTCCTATCAGGCCTATTTTAAAGTATGACCACCTTGGTGGGATTGGTTTGTTTTAAATTTGAAAAGGGAAACTACTTATAACTACTATTTACAACTACAACTACTATATACACCTAACCTACTATATGCAAATTGCTTATCAAAGCATGTTCTGATAAATTACATTTTTGTGCAAATTTAGTCTTAATTTCGTTAATTCTGGAATCTATTTTGGCAATGCCTGCCTCTTCGTGTAAATTTCTTATTCTAGTGTCAAAAGGACGATCAAGTACCATCCTCAGCACTCTATTCTGAGCGACCTGGATTTTGTTCCTGTGAGTCTGTGCACATGATTCCCACACCGGAGCTGCGTAGAGGATCGCAGGTGCTATGATTTGTTTGTAGACGGCCAGTTTGTTCACCTTTGAGAGGCGGGATCTACGGCAAATCAGCGGATACAGACACCTAACCAAGGCGGAACACTTGATTACGGTTTTCTCCACATGCGAGCGGAATAGAAGCTTTTCGTCAAACAACATCCCGAGATAGGTTACTTCGGCGCAGTGGCGTCGCGTAACCTCACTTTTTACCTGTTCAACAACTTTGAAAACGTTATTTAGGGTCATGTTTACATTCAAATCAGTTTCAAAAGACATAGGATCTTCTAGTTTCACTGATTTGTATCCATTGAAACCAATATTGTTTTGTTTGTTTACGTTTTGAGAGTTGTTGAACAGGTAGATTGAGGTTAGGGCGACGCCACTGCTTCGGCGGACCACTCAACCCTTGTGCCATCCATGATTACAGTACAAGATGGAGCCGGTTTCAGTTTGGGCGATTGCCGATGGAGGAACATGATCGCTTGTGTTTTGGAGGCATTCCCCCTTATTCTGCGAGTCACGTGACTCTCTCTCACCGGTGAGGTGACAATTGTCACCTCGTGTGAGGTGACTCTCCATGCAAATCAAATGGAGAGTCACCTCACACGAGGTGACTATTGTCACCTCACCGGTGAGAGAGAGTCACGTGACTCGCAGAATAGGGGGGATTGATTTTGATTTTCCACGTGGTGGCATAATCAGCAAAGGCGTTAAGGCATCGTTGAAGTTTGTTCGTTATTTCGCGAGGCATCCTTCCTTTGACGGCTATTGCGGTATCATCTGCGAACAGGAAAAACACGCAACCGTCTCCGAGGGGAGAAATGTCGGAAGTGTAAATGCTGTAAAGCAAGGGGCCCAGCAGACTGCCTTGCGGGACACCTGCTGGGATGGAAAACGTGTCGAAACGATACCTTAAACGACCTTTGCTGGAGGTAGTTACGGGTGATTTTAACCAGATGTAATGGGAAGTTGAAGTTACAAAGCTTGTATACAAGCCCATTGTGCCAGACATTATCAAACGCTTTCTCAACGTCTAACAAGGCCATGGCTGTGGACTTGGATACAGCTTTGTTACTTCGGATGTTATTCATCACCCGCACTAGCTGGTGATTGGTGGAGTGCCCCTTTCTGAAACCTAACTGTTCCGGAAGAAGAATGTTATTTTCCTCGACAAACTTGAGCAAACGATTGAGAATGAGTTTCTCGAACAATTTGCTCAGCGCTGAAAGGAGGCTGATTGGTCTGTAGCTTGAAGGCAATGTTGGATCCTTACCGGGTTTGCGGATTGGTATGATTTTTGCTATTTTCCAGATGCTTGGAAAGTAGTGCAGTTCCAAACATCTGTTAAAGATAGCAGTTAGAAGAGACTGCACTTTCATGCTGAGTCTCTTCAAGATCAAGTTGAATATACCGTCAAACCCGGGAGCCTTCATGTTCTTGGTGCATTTCAGCGCTGAGCAAATCTGTTGTACTGTAATCATATCCACCGGAGGCACGACACAAGGGGAGGCATCAAGGTTTTGAACGCATTGCGCAACCTGATCTTCGAGCGGACTTTGGATAGTCGAGCCAAGCAAATGTGATGAAGCGACATGCACGTCGATCGCATTTGCTTTCTCCTGTGGGGTAATTAAAAGCCGATCGTCATCATTTTCGACTTTGAGAGGTGGAACGGGTTTGGGATGATTTTTCAGGACCTTGGCTACCTTCCAGAATGGTCTGGAGCGGTCGTCCAGATTCTGGACAACACGTCCGAAACTTTCATTTCGGAGTGAGTCCATTCTGGAAGCAATCTGCCTGTTCAGATCGGCCATTTCACGTTTTTTGCCCAGATCTCCAGTCCTCTGAAACTGGCGTCTACGAACATTTCTCAACCGAATCAATAATTGGGTGTGGGAATCAATAGCAACAAACTTACCCCTCACAGGAACTTGTCGAACACACGCCTCGTCTGCCACGGATATGGCCTGTTGGAGTCCTTCCAACGCCCGGTCGATATCATCTACAGTGTCGAGCAGTGGATTTTCATCGATGTTGCTGTCCACCATTCGTCCGTACTACACCCAGTTGACATGGTGGTAGTCTTTACGCAGGCAGCTTCTAGCAGGAACCACGTTGACACCGACTTCAGTCACCACCGGTTGGTGGTCGGAGCTGAGATCGTTGTGCGCCCCCGGCTTGGATAGTCCTATGTTTGACAGGAAAAAGTCCAGGGTGGACGGATTTCCCGCTGGAGAGATAAAAGTTGGTTCGTCCGGAAACTGCACAGTGTACAGTCCATGTTGTGCGTGGTCGAACAATAGACATCCATTCCGGTTCCGCTGGTAGTTCCGCCAAGCTTCATGGCGGGCATTCAGGTCGCCCCAACGATGAATCGGGATCTAGTACGGGTGATGGCGGTCAGGTCGTTCTTGAATTGAGTTCCTAGTCCATTGTTGGCGGTGCACTGGCTTGGGCAGTAAACAGCGATAAACCGGACGTTTCCAGTTGGTGATTCCACCTCCACACTAACTGCCTCGATGATAGAAGTGCGGACGTGGGGCAGAGTGCAGAACTTGATTCCCTTTCTGACGATGACCGCTACACCACCCCCCCCCCTGGAGCTGGTGCGATCAAGCCGGATAATGTTGTGGTCAGGCAACCAGAAGCTGTCGCCGGACTTTAGATGGGTCTCGGTTAGAAGGCCCACGTCGATACTGTGCTTGCGGAGGAAGTCGGCAAGCTCAATCTGTTTTGCTTTTACAGAGCAAGCGTTCCAGGTAGCGATGGTTAGCGGTTTAGACACCATACTGGATGATGAACTTACCGAGCAC